TATTATTATTATTATTATTATTATTATTATTATTATTGCTTGTAACGGTATGTTAACTACGATGATGACAGGGGTGTGAACGAACACAATACAACCATACCCGAGGCGGGACTCGAACCCGCGATCCTTCGGTCCGAGATCACAAAGGCACTATTGCCTTAGTGATCTCGTCCATCCGGACAGGAGAAATGCTTTGCGACTTCAGTCAATATTTTTTCTTGCGTTTTGGTGTCTTTCAGTGTTTAATTCAATTTTTTTCAGGTTGTCTGCAAGACTATGTAAGGGATGTAAATTTATAAAAGAATTTATAGGGTATGGCATTTTAAATCGCGTAATTCGAGCATCACAATAAATTCTTAATAACGTAAACTTCGATTAGCCGTAAATGCTGTCGTACACACTATCGTACACTTATTCTGTTTGATTTAAACTACACTTAATACTAGACGTGTCAAAGAACAAGCTCTAAATGCTATAAACAATAGCAGAGACAAATTTGATAGGACACTAATGAGAAAAACACATTTCATTTGCTGTCTAGGAAAATGTCTCTCTTGAATTTGAGAAACATAGGTTTTCCGTAGGATAAATAATATTCAAGTATTTGGAGATTATATTCTGCAAATTATGTGAATATTACGGCATTCACTTATAATGCTAGTAAGATGTCTGTGTATGCAATTACTGATGGGTAACTACTGCTTATAAGCATTTCCTCCTCCACGGCCCAGATGACCGCTTCGTCCCGTTGCCTCTATTGAACACGCAACAAATTAAAAAAAGAAAGTAATGCATGCAAAATTATCCAATATACGAACATTTTGAAAATACATATATTCCATCCGAAATACATGAGTATTGCTATAAAGAGCACTTGCATGTCCGCTTAATGTTTTATAATGGGAAGTAAGGTAGCCGATTCTTCGGCAGCATGTAACACATTTAGTCAACGCCCTTTTTTAATGTATTGAAAACTTCTCTATGAATAAATAATTTTAAAAACCGGAATAAATAAGTGATATTATTTGAACATTTCACCTACATACCTTAATTAATTTGAATCTCGCTGTACGACACTAGAATCATCTCGTGACCGACACCGGAACGTTTTACAAAGAAAAAAAATTAGCACCGAGTAGTTTTCTAGAAATACTCATAGCAGCTTTCGAACAATGAAAACAAATGCATTGGTTTTGTGCAATCGTGCTTTATTCTTGGTAGGTGTACGTACACAGATGCCGCAAACATTTTGCCTTTAGCGTTGGAACTTACAATGTTACATTCGCAACAATATTAGTATGGAAAATATGGTCTATGCAACTTTTATATTTCGTTCAAGCAGAATTTATTTACTAGTTAAGGTAAATTAAGTGATACTTCGAAGTAAGAATGAAATGTAGACGGACGAGATGGTGATAGGCCATTAGGCATGTTGAAATACACCCAAACCACTTCTGATTATGTACAATATTTTTTAGTACGAATTCATTAAAATATTACAAATACCCTTTGGGTGACATGGAGGTGATTTACGTTGCATCAGTTGTTTATTTCCTTGGTGTACTACGTGTACCGAAAAGTAACGCTTTAATCAATAATCAGGGAAGGTAGTTTCCATCCATGACAGATAAAATACTCTAAAATAAAAATTATAAACAAATAGAAATACTCTAAAATATGATTAATTACGTAAATAAAACAGTGAGAAAGAAATTGAAGAAAAGAAATTGCGTTAAATATCAAAAAAGGCCTAAAAGTGAAAAATATTCTGCAGAAATTGGAACATTTAACAAATGCAAATTGAAGACCTGAGAAAGAGAGAAAAATGGAAAGAAGTAAAACCGTGACGTGTTGTTTATGATATTAAACAAATAACTAGTACAATCAACTGGCGATTTCTTGATCAATACGAATTCGTATCAAGATATTTTCCCAACAATATTCTAACTCGTTACATAAATCTGCATAATTCTGAGTATTTTTAGTTTACATCATTATTTTTTATAAATATATTTCCGAATGTCATTGTTTGTAACAAGCAAATAAAATTAGAACTAGTGCAATGCATTTTAAAGCACTAGTATTGTACGAGGGCCATTTCGAAAGTAATCCCTCCCATTTTGAACGTTGGCATATGACCTCAATAAAAAATATGAATGAGTCATAGTAGAATTTTTTCGTTCTTGTTACTATTTGACAGATAGTAGCCTCGCATAGCTGCCACACCAGTCATTGAGGAGCACCTCGATCAGTTCATCTGAGCATAAAAGCGCATCACTATCAGGGACCTTACACGGCGATGAACATAGTGTGACGTCATGGATACTCACAGCGACCACAGACACAGAGCTTTCGTATAACAAATATATTTATTAACAAGAAAACAAAACCAATGTATACAGCTTAATAATCTAACTTAAACCCTAAGCTCTGATAGACCTACTATCCTGATCGCGAGAGCGATCCAAAACCCGATTGAAGAATGGTTTTAGATTGTGGCTTCGCCACTCTACTTTTGAAGCGCTGCACAAAGCCTAGCTTCCGTGGACGGATGTCCACGCTGGAAAAGTCCGTTCTGGCGCACCAACGGCTGTGTGTGCTCGATCGCAGGAGCGATCTTATCGATTGGAATCGGCGTGAATCGTGCACTCAACCCTCTTCACCTCGGAGCACGACACAGCATCGCTCCCCCGTGACCCGCAGTCACCAAGGAATAAAGTCCGCAGCTTCGTCAACAAGTGATGAGCTCGCGAAGCCTGCTCGCATATGCACCGTTTGGCCAAATTTTGCACACGCCACGAGGTTCCCCACAGTTCCAGAACCTGCTACTGGCTCCGTACTCTTGTTTATATAGGCTAGCCACGTGACCTATCTACGTCACGCCACCCGCGCTGTGTATAACAGTGAAAAGCTTCATAACGGAAGACACCAAAGCTTGTGTCTCGTCTCCGCGTTTTCTTTACGGAAAACCCTACTCTCTGTGGCGAGACTAAGATGCCGCAACAAGCGTCCCCAATAGATGCCATGAGGCACCGCTGCATAATACGTGTAATGCAAATGCTTTTTATCATAACCTGAGTTACCGAAAATTTTGCGCAAAGTGAGTTTCGCTGTCATTCACACGGGAACATCGAACGCAACTAGAACTTTGTAAGGAAATTTTGACACAAGCGAAGCTGAAGGTGGCCGGTTTTCGGATCGATTAAATGGCGATTACCTAATTATGAGCCAGAAACAAAGACAATCCATTAAATGGTAAAAACGATTTTTACGGAGCGTGACATGCAGTTAACATTATCTGGAAAGATATGGCCATAGAAATAAACAATGACTATTTAAAAGAAATATTCTTGTATTCAAAAGACGCTTTTATAATTAAGGTTTTTTATTTACTGGATTTGTCAGAATATAAATGTAAAAGGCATTACTTTGGATTGATCCTGGTTATTATATTTCATAAACTGTAAAATTTGAGAACGACTTCACAATTCAGGAGTCAATCACCAGAAAAAAACGGACAATATTTTACCTCTAGAGCGGACATTTTTTTGAACCCACCCCCCCCCCCCCCTGAAGATTCTGAGACATTTGCTACACAAGCCAGGAACCATCAAGAAGACATAAATCGCTCCAGCACGAGACGCAAAGCGGTTTCGGGAATTGCTTCTCTAGCGCTCCCGCATAACCGAACATGCTATAGAGTGTGTTAAATTGGCTCCACCAAGTGTTAAAAGGGGCATTACGGTTAGTCTTCGTGTCAAAAGTTACTGTTTTTGGGCAGAGAGGGAGCCGCATTTCTTTGTTTGGATTTAGTGGCCAAATGAGCAAGAGTGATAGTGGCAAATGACAGTGACAGTGGCAATGGAATGACAGTGACAGTCACAGTGAAGTCAACAGTGAAGTCACCAGTCAAGTGGACAGTCACAGTCACAGTGACAGCACGTGAAGTCACAGTGACAGTCAATGACATACAGTCACAGGACATCAAGTCACAGTGCATCACAGGAACAGTCACAGTGGACAGCAACGTACAGTCAGAGTGCCAGTGACAGTCCAGTGAAGTTGACACAGTGTCAAGTGACAGTTCACAGTGCAAGGTGCAGTCACACAGTTGATCAATTGCAGTGACAGTCACAGTGCAAGTGAAGTACAGTGCAAGTGACCAGTACATGCAGTGAAGTCACGTGACAGTGACGAGTGCGGTGCAAGTACGGTCATGCAAGTGGACAGTTCAGAGTGCAAGTGACAGTCAGTGCAAGTGACATCACAGTGCAAGTGACAGTCCCAGCAGGAAGATGACAGTCACACGTGCAAGTGACAGTCACAGTGGACAAGTTCAGTCACAGTCATGAAGTCCAGCAAGTGAATCAGGCAGTGCAGTCAACAGTCAAGTGACAGTCACCAGTGCAAGTGACAGTCCACAGTGCAAAGTGACAGTCACAGTGCAAGTGACAGTCACAGTGCAATGACAGTCACAGTGAAGTAGTCCAGCAGTGAAGTCAGTCATGATCAATGAAGTGACAGATCCACAACAGAAGTCACAGGAATGAACAGTCACAGTGCTAAGTGACGAATCAGAAGTCACAGTGCAAGTGACAGTCACAGTGCAAGTGACAGTCACGACAAGTGCGTCACAGTGCAGTCACAAGTGCAAGTGAGTCATCGCAGCACGTGCAAGTGACAGTCCATGCAAGTACAGTCAGAAGTGACAGTCACAGTGCCAAGTGACAGTGCACAAGTGCAAGTGACAGCACAGTGGCAAGTGACATCACAGTGCAAGTGACAGTCACAGTGCAAGTGACATCACAGTGCAAGTGACAGTCCAGTGCAGTAGGTCGCAGGCAAGTGACAGTCACAGGGATGCAAGTCGCAGTGACAGTCACAGTGCAGTGACAGTCACAGGGCAAGTGACAGTCACAGGGCAAGTGACAGTCACAGGGCAAGTGACAGTCACAGTGCAAGTAATTTGGACAATTATTGCACAGTGCAAGTGCAGTAATTTATAGATCAGACATATCTGACCGCAAAAGCGGTGGAGTACTCATATCTATCAAAACAAATTCAATACATCATCAAATTGATCTAATAAACACACGCGGTACTGAAACTGTTGTATACACAGGAACTCTTAAGAAAAGGAAACAGTTCATTTAAACAATGTTAGTTTATTATCCACAGCCAAAGAACAATTCAAGTACAAAAGCCAGTTTTCCGTTTTCCAGATGTTATTTAACAAGCACTAGTCAACAAAAACACCAGGAGAAATCAACGTTACTACCACAGGCACTTCGTACAACCTCTCAACCACTACTTCACACACTAGAACTCACGCTGTACCGACTCTCATACTAATGGGATTCCTAACATAAAATTAACTTTATTGTATTACTCGTAATGGCTATACACAATTATAATAAATGAATAAAGCATTATATTTTGGTTGATATACTATTTGAGACATTGCTGCAAATTTTCTTCGTCAGGGTACTTGAAAATGCACACAGTCTCCTTTCCTTACATCTTCTGCGAAAGACTTCGTAAACATTGACATTGTAGCTGCATAAAGTCCAATATAGCTACAGACATACTAGGCTCAGAGCATCAAGTGGTATTACTGCAGTGCCTATGTATGAGGGAGTGTGTATGTATGGGGCGACTTCGAGTCCTCACGGTGACAGGATTTTCGCCAATAGTTAGCAGGTCGAATTGACCAGCAATGTGGACGAGAATTCTAACGTCCTGCTGTTCGGATCGGTAGCTTGGACTTTCGATTAATACCACATCAGAATGCCAGAAGAACCGTAACAAACGGGACACGTACTGCCTGCGTTCATTTCTTCCGAAACGAAAAGATAGTCGAAACGTGGCAATTAGAGTCTTGTCGTGGATCTGCCTTAAGCAACCCACACCAGTCCGTGATCACAAAAAGATGGTCGAAACGTCAGTATCACAGCCATCAACGCGACCTCACCCGGAGAGTCAGGACGTTTACCATCCTTTTCACTTACCTTACCAACATCCCTCTAAAAACATTGGCCGGTGATCAACTCCTGCTCCTGAAATGCTGCGTAGGTTTGCGTATTTAACTAGATGACAGTTTTTTTAAACTTATAAAATTCAATTTTTGATTCAAATGTATGAGAAGAGAATATTAAAGGTTGTGTATAAAAGAAGAATACACTATAAATGGTTTCTCAAAACAAGAGCTAATTATTTCCTATTTCTATCGATTGGACGAATTCATCTCGTCACCACCCCACTGTAAAGCATTTCTAAGTGAATTACCATGCACACTTGCCGGGCGGCCAGTGAAGTTACTGCGCTGAAGCCGCACGAGCTCCAAAATCCATTGACAGGAGCACCGGCATCGGAGCGCGAACTCCGAGTTATGAACAACGCACTAATCTGCTTTGGGCGCCAGCGGCCGGCCGGTCGGCCGACGCATCCCGTCCCACCCTCCTCCCGGCGTCATCTACTCAAGAGCTTTGGAAACATGCGTGGTGGTTGAGGTAGAGGCGATGGCAACGGCAGTGATTTTTCAGTTGGAGGGGGAGGGGATGGGGAAACGGCAGCATGTGGTCTGCGTGGTTGAGGCCGAGAGAGAAGTATAAGAAAAGACAGTGCCGGGGGTATTGCCATTTTTAAAATTTTGAACGTTAATTTTTTTTCACTTTTACTAAATTATCATATTGACTGTATTAAATTTTTGACGGAAGGACGGACATGCACCACGGCATACGCGTCGTCACAAATATAGACCTGTAGCGTGAATGCAGGATATTCGGACAATCTATGGCAACAATGAAGACATGGCGGACGTGGCGGTGGTGGCTCGATGTAATTTCTTCTTATTGAATGCAGAGTAAAAAACATAACGAGTCGTTAATACCTGCCAATTTCTAAAACAGTGTTGCCATTTACCGTATAGTCGTCTAACTATCGATGAATATGAACTTAAACGACGACAATGTTAAGATACAAAGGTAGAGCTTACTCCATACTTATGTTTTTTTAAGGATCGACAACCGCAAGAAGATGCTCTCTAAACATATCCAATACTAGCGAAGGTACATGACGCTTTTCTGATTTTTACATGTTGAATTTTCTAAAATTTTACCAATATATTTTTGCAATATAAATTTAAGGACAGATTTTCATTTAGTGGAAGTCAGCTATTTTTATAATATGGAAATTTTCGTTTCCGGCTAAATTAGCAAAAATCGAGAACTTTCAAAAATGGAGAAAAAATAATAGGAAATTCTTTTGTTGTAATTATTATTTTATTTACTTATTTATACAAATTCCATCTATTTATTTGTTTATTTATTTTTAGGTATTTGTCCCCAAAGTCTATGAAAAAAATTTTTGTAAAATGAAAGTAAAAACACTTCATTCCAGTAATTTCGGCTGAGATACCATAGCGAATAAATGTGTGTGAACATGTGTGTATACAAACCACTTCAGATGTCACGAGAGAAAATTGCAGACTCGCTAGTTTCTCCAGCTCCCAACCTTTCAACTACGTCTCGCTGTATCTGCTCATACTGCGACTACGCGCACTGCTTGTCAACTCAGCGCTTTGAATTCCCGTGTTGGGTCCGGCAGCCACGGAGTGTTCATTTGCAACGCGCCCAACGCGCTCCCCGCACGGCCACTCGCATGCTCCAGCGCCCGCGCACGTGCTCGAGATGCACGCCAGAGGCCAGCACGTTTCCATTCACACGTTTGCCCGCCATCGCATGTGAAACGTTTCATTCCTCGATAAAAATCTCTCGAATTCCCTTATTTATGTAAAGTCTGTCAATGAAGGCGACAAAAACGCTCTCTCTCTTTTTACTTTTTCCTGCTGACATGCTAGACATTTCACAATATCTTAACTTTTTTGCTTATCATTGGTACTAAAATAAAATACAACTATTTCCAAGATTTAGATAATATCCGTGGTGAAGTAGTGCAGTCGTTAAAAGTGACATCTCTGAGAAGAGTGGTAATCCAAAGAGAAGAAATAATTAAATTGGAACATTTTAGAGGATCTACTTTAAATGCACAAACTTCATCCACAAAAAATTGGATTTGATTCATTACATTGTATTACTAACAAATAATTATCCAGAAACTCTTGAATATACATAAAGCGGGACACTGCCTCAGTCAAGACAAGCACAAAACTCCCGACTAGTCTCCCGATAAATGTGGTAGTGTAATACATCTAATTGTAAGAGTGTGTAAGAGGTGAGGATATAACAAGGAAGGAAAGCGTAAGATTGCGCGCGGTCCGTAGCCCGTTTGTTAAGGTACTGCTCCAGCATTCACCTGGAGCTGTTGGAAATGCTTAATCGTCGATTGAAACCATGGAAATCTACCAATAGGAGAAACCACCTGCTAGAAATATCCTCCAGAGAGAAACTGATTTCGACCTAGTTCTCTATCTATCATCAAAAACCCTACCACACGATCGGGAGTAGACACCTAGAACCTCCCGGTTAGACACACTGCAGTGACATCAGTTAATGTCCTGAGTCAACTAAGACAGTCCAAGAACTTGAGAAAAAAACATTTTGGGCTGAAAAAACTAAATCTATTGTGTTATTTCGTATTTCCTATTCTCTCATGGCGCATACCATGAACATTTTCATAGTGTTTCATAGTGTCGGTGCTCACGATACAACTGACGTCATTGGATGCTTCAAGCACGAGGCCTGTCACCATTAAATATTAGCTATTGATGTGTGTTGCGGCACATCAACCTTTTTATACACTTTGATGTAATGAACGAATGTACTTGCAAGGGAACGCCGCTGTGTGCATGTCGAAACTGATATTTTTTCCCTGAATTTACATGCCCTTCTGATACCACAATGAAACTGTTGGCTGACGAAACATACTTCCAAATACTTTAAACATTTAAAAATGTCCCAACATTTTCGTACTATTTTTCGTTTCTACAGAGAACTTGGACAGCCCTCGCAAACCGAGCGGCGAGCGCGCGGGCGCCGAGGTTGGCGTTGTAGAGTGTTGTTTCCTCAAGGTCAAATGGCATTCGGTGGGAGCAAGCCATTCCCAGTACGCCCAATACTTTTCTTACTGAAAAAGTCAATTTTATTTGAGTTATTTTACTTCCTTACCAATGAAAGTTTGTTACTTTTTTCATTATGAATATCATCAATATGCATAATCATTAAATATTGACGTGTATCATACAACTACTTGTACCACTTTATATTTAAATTGTGTAAAGAAGAGATGTAAGAGTTATTTTGTGAATCAGGTTCACATGTCATGGCCTCATTTTGGTTTTTTGCTCGCGAAAATTACCGTTCTTTAATTTTTGCCTATTAGTGTCGATAAATTAATTTTCTCATTCGAAAATTCCGAAAGACTTGCAACTTTACCGCACTTTTCCAGTTTGCACCGACCTTTCGAGTGTAATTACACCACTGACCTGTTACGCAGTAGACGCCAAGAGCTCTCAAATTCGTGAAGAAAGAGCTCCAGGGGAGATATCTCATGTTCGATGGAAGACGAGTGGTTGCGGCAAGGTTTATCACGACGAAACATATTCTTATAAAAATGAACAACAGATAAAACTAAAATTCGGAAAAACTTGTATTAATGGTTTAGACTATGTACACTGTGTTAATATGAGTGTTATTACTTTTATTATTTCAGCTGCTAAGAGGGGCGACTGCCTCCTCCCCTGCCTCTCCCAGGAAACGACCTTGCAAGCAATCCACCGCTTGCGGCGAGCAGTGATGGAGAATCACAAGCGAGCGCGCTGAGTAACACCTGCTTTGCAGGGTTGGCCATTTTTACATCCATGAAAGCATAGGGCCAATTTGCAAATTCACGATGCTTTTTAATTGACTGTGTATCGGCAGCCAAAAGTTTGATCGTGAGATTAATATGGTATGAGCTTCCAAGCAAAAGAAGGATAGGACAGGTTTCGACATGTCATGTCGCGGCATTCCCTTGTTAAAATTCCTATATAGTACGCTGTGATATTGCGGTAGTCGTAAAGACCGGTTTTGTACTTTTGTGATGCCGTGA